AAAGTTATGGACAAACCACAAATAAGGTAAATAAACTGATTAAATGAATAATTAAGACACCAAAAGTGAAATACTAATATCATAGTTTTTTAACTCGGACCAGTAATGGACCCGCGCAGGTCTTCGGGTCACCAGGTCACCGGTTCAACCGTCGGGTCACCGGATCAATTGTTGAACCAGATAACTAATTTTTAAAATTTTTTAAAATTATATGTAGAGTATTTTCTCATATAAATATGCATAAAACTAACAATATTAAATATTTTGTGTATAAAATTTGTACATGAAAGTATTATAATATGTATCTCATGACAAATATTTACCATATATACATAGTTTTATTTTTTTATATTTTTAAATATATATATATATATGGGGCGGGTATTTATAAACAAAAATGATTTTTTTTATTAATCGTTATTTGTGGTTCACTAAATAAACTGATTAAATGAATATGTTAAGTACGATAATTTTTCTAATTAATTCCACTAAAATAATTTTTCACACCATCTGTCTCACTCACTATTTTCAATGTTCTTCTTTTTTTTCAAAAATAATTTTGTCGCACTGATAATTCTTCACTGGTCGCGTCAAGGAACATCGGTAGGAATAAAAGGTGAAAGCTTTGTAGCTGAGTGTTGATTGGTGACGTGAAAAAAATGCAAACTCCATCAATGGCAGCGTAGATCTCCAAAATTAAATAACTTTGTTCTATTCCCATAATCTCTGTTATTCTTCTTTTCCCCTTCTAACTGAGCAGAAAATTCATTTGTGTTCAGTCGGACACTTAGGTTTGTAAAATATGTTGTTGTTTGTTTTCTAGCTGCCAGTCTTTTTCAGAAGCTCAACGAGATGATTGCTAGCTAGTGACTCGCAAGACTGTAACCGTATTTGTTCATATATATTTGCCACTCCCCATTCGTTTTACTTTTTCATATGAAAGAACAATGATAAAAGTACGAGTATCTTTTGGGTTCAAAAGATGAGGTTATTAGTTGCATTTATTGTTCATAGTATAATTTTTTCACATCGGTTAAAAAATCATATTAACATCGGTTAAAACCCTTTTTTACAACCGATGTTGAAACAGCCGATGTTAAAAATCTGTCTTTTTTACATCGGTTTTGAACCGATGTGAAAAAGAATTTGTTTACATCGGTTTTGCCCAACAACCGATGTTATAAGGGAAAAAATAGGGCTTGAAAAACGAAAAAAATCGAACCCTTTTACATCGGTTTTTATATACAACCGATATAAAGTAAGACATTTAACATCGGTTTTTGTAATAACCGATGTAGATAAAGGCATGTAACATCGGTTATCAGAATAATCGATGTCATATTACTCGAATTCACATCGGTTCCAAAATAAGCGATGTGAATAATGCTTACAGTGACATTGGTTATTATGAAAACCGACATGAAACCTTTTTGTCGTAATAGTCTTTTTTACATCGGCTTTTTAAAAACCGATGTAAAATGTTTGGATTATTACATCGGTTTGTACATCAGCTTTTAAAACCAATGTAAAATCAAACATTTAGAACAATTTTATTTAAATATACATTTTTTTACCTATAAAACCGATGTAAAATCAAGCATTCATACATTCAAAATACTCCATGAATTCAACAAAAACTCACATCACAAATACTAACAACCAAAATATTTCAACAACGCCAAGTTATAAAAAATAGTTTTCATATGCACTACACGAACAATAGTCATCAACCAGAATTAAATTTCAAATTCCATATAATGCAAGTAAACTGATAGTCTATTTTCCTAATGAAGTAACCTCAAGAAAGTACTTCGTCCACCTCATTTTTATATTTTCAATGTCCTCGTCCGAATATGGCTCATCAATGTTGAAAGCCTACATGATACAATAATAAATATTATCACTATAACCTGTATTGAATTGTGCGATTTCAAATACATCAAAAAGTTGATTTTCATTAAAACTTACCTCTTCGAACGAGTTGGTAATGTCAAGTGATATAATCTCGAGCATATACCGCATGACAAAATATCCACATGCTTCTTCTCCCAATTGTTTTCGACACTTGTATGAAAAACATAAAAACATCATTTATACTACACAAACTAAATCGATGCATACAACCAAGAAGGAAATAATATAACTCCCCAAAATAAAAACAACTAACATCATTCACTAAATTTACCTTAAGTCGAACCCATTTAGGCTTCTCTGTTCTAAGGTTACGTTTTCCCTTAACCATGAAGTATGCACGAAATGCACTGCAACATAAAAAACATTCATATTACTTAAAAGACAAAATAAGCTAAAATGTAAAAGATAATATATTTGAAATTAGCAAAGAAAAGTTAACTACAAAATCGATCTAATTTATCAATTTAAAAACATACCTGTTAATCTTGTTCATCAACTCTATGCTGGGATTTCTTCTCAACGAGCACAACCAAACCACTTGATTTTGTTTGGGACAAAGTATCATCAACTGCCAATGTTCTCTGTCAATCCAGAAGATAAATGTATTTAATTGGTACACTTTTTAATTTGCATATCTATATAATGTTAATAAAAATAAAATAAAGCACATATAAAGTGAATTTTATATGTTTTTATATTCTTACTCACTAATGTAAGGTGCAAAGATACACTCGTAATTTTCTTCTTCCATTCTTCTCGCAATATACCCTTCTATCTCTTCCTTACTATTGCCCCTTGTTTGAATTTTGAGCGGGCACAAAAATCCAAACTTTTTTTATTTCTCGGATTGTTTCAGCACATTATAGAGATACCTGTGGTAACTCAGAAAATAAATAATTTTTAGAAACAAATATAGTGAATAATGTATATACAATACTAAATTATTAAAGATTATTGAATTAAGCATTTAAAACATAAAATTATTACCTCAGATTGCAGATAAAAATCAGAAAAAAATGATGAGAAATACTTACATGTTGAAGAATTCAATGATAGAAATGCAAAGTTTTTGACTTTGCAACAACTCCATTATGTCCTTCTGAAATATGTACAAATCTCTTTTCTCTCCGAAAATCTCAGTCGGCATATTTATGCAAATTGGATTTTTTATATAACGTGCCGCCATCCACAAAGTTGTCAAGGCATCTGTCTCAGGTTTGATAATCGGTTTTGGTGTCACTGGCTTCGACTGAAATTTATCCTATGAATGAGAAATTTATTCATGTAAAATTTGCAAGAGAATGTAAATTTATGAGTTACTCATAAAATGATTTATTTGTTCTAGATAACTCGTACGAACCAAAAAACACTCAAGACTAGGTCAGAATTACCTTAGCATTTGCACCTTTAACCAACCTACGAGGCCAAGTAATGAAGTTATTTGGCGCTTCTTCTACGGTTGTGACCTCCTCTGTCGGGTATGGCACGAGCGCATCTCCAACGATTACACGTAATACGACAACCCTCACTTCATCCTTATTCATCTTCTTGTGGTGAATGGTTGGCCTAAGGTTATGGATACGTCCGTATGCAACCAAAATTTTTTGTGGGTTATCCACATACAACTCGCATTCTTTATCCTCGCTAAGTTCATCCAATGATAACACATTTGGAACACAACTCTCTGTAGTGCTTTGGATCCTCGGAGAATCAGGACTATGGTCAATCGAAGAGCCTTTGCCAATCATCATCATCATTTCTTTTTTCCATTCGTCTTTCACTTCGTCAATCCTACGACTGATGATAGTTTCCATCTCATCTCGTGAGACCATATCTTTCCCTACACTTGAACAGCTCAACGGCCCAAAGAAGTCCTTGATCCCAACACCTTTACCCACTCCCCTCACACGCCCGGGATGCTCAGGCTTTCCTAACGCTGTTGCGAGTATATCGTTTCTCCCAACAGGTTTGAAACTGCCCTGAGTGCATTGTTCTTCTAAAGAATCCTGCATGAAATGTTTGAAGAATTTATAGAGTATTTATCCATTCATGAATGTACGAGGAACGTAAAATATAAAAACACGTCACTTACAATTTTGTCAGCAACAATTTTGGCTTCCTTTGAGACATAATCTCCTTTCTTTGTTATACGAGCTCTTTTCCATAATTCATGACGAGAAGAAGGAGATGGGGGTGGAATAATTTCCGATGGATCAGTGGAGGCCTCTTTTCTTGCCCTGTATTTCTCGTCCATAATCTTTTGCATCAAAAGATCGTAGCCTCCACGAGATAATATGTGCGGACTTAGATTATATGATTGCGACTCCTGAGCCTTTTTTCTGATTTCCTACATACATATAGATTAAAAAACACAATCAAGAAGAACAACTCAATATCCCAAATAACCAATTATCATTTATTTTCTCTCAATCAATCCTTATATAAAGATCAAACAAGTTAACAGAAACAATAGTTTCATGCACTTTTGAATATAAATGTCCCCAAACAATTTAACTTTAAATGTATGGCCAAATGTACGAGACTCGAAATTATTTATGTTCATGATAATAATTAACTTACCAGGAATTCAGGAGTTTGACGGGACGCAACAAAAGCCTTCCAAGTGTCTGCATCCAGAAAAGGGTAAATATCGTCATATGGGAGCACACCAATCTTTTCTCCAAATACGTATTCTCTAGTGAGCTTAGTTTTGAAAGCCCTCCAAGCATCCCCGACACGTGAAAACACTCTCGTTCTCAATTTCTTTTTATCTGGCACATCGTACTGCTCCTAAAAAATATAAATATTCATAAAAAAATAATTAACGTTTAATCATTAAAATTTTAAGAACATAACAGGTACAACCCAATAAATCATTGAAGCATTCAATTACCAACTATTGTGTTTTTATAAAATAGATAAATCATACTGATAAAGCTTGCCAAATTTGCTCTTTATTCCTCTCAGTCACTTTTCTCCAGTCCGGTATCAAGATACTGACTTTGCTACGTCCTAGAACGGCGATGTAGCTATTAAACTTGCTCTTAGTTTCTGGATTTGGCCCGTTTGCCTCAAAATAACGATTGAATGTAACATGTTTCTTTTCTCCATCTGACATTTGTATGTCTTTCATCCGTGTTGCTTTGCGACCTTTTTTGACGTGAGTTTCCTTATCTGAGCCATCTTGACTACTATTTTTAGAAAGATCATCCATTCCTGCACACTCTATGCAACCATTGGAAGCAGGTATTGCATATATAATAATATAATATATTCATGTAACCCAATTAACTAAACAACTTTTTTTTCTCTTCTTTTTTATCATTTTTTTTTTTCTGTTTCTGCATATTTTCTTCTGGAAATTTATATGATTTATTAAATTTTGTTTTTCCAAATATTCTGCTCAGATTTTCCATGTAACATTAGGTTTCCATCAAATTTCATAAAAAAGTCAACATATGCTATTTTTCACCATTTTTTGCATGCATGCCCACTTCTTTATAATTACACAACCAGTTTTTTTCTGAATATTTTGGTCACATATTCTCTCTATCATAAGCTCAAAAACTTTCTTCTAATGGAACATGCCTTTTACTTTTTATTCTTTCAATAATTATTATTATCATTAATATTATGTGAAGATAATTAATATGTGCACACTCATAACTTATTTTGTTATAAGTTATGAGTGTGCACATATTATTTTTAAAATCACAAGTTAGATAAAAACTATATAATTGACTCTGATTTATTTATTTGTTATTATTATTAGTTTTTGAACTTATGAAATTGTATCTAAAAGCAATGAGTAAAAAGTGATTAAATTACCTTGATGTTTCTGGTGTCTTCTTTAAGATGGCAAAAGGAGTTCCACTGGTATGATTAAGAGCTTCTTTACTTAATAAGTCTGCACCGAAAATCACCAAGGCATAACTTATTGTCACAAGAATAAAACATAAGACCAAACACAAAACAAGAAAAAAGGACGACAATTATTTACTTCCACAATTAAATCATGTAAAGAATCTGTTAAATTTTGAAGTTAGTCAGTAGCAGGTGAGAACTTACAAATGATGCGCTCTCAAAAGAAATATCAGCATACGCGTGATCTGTTGCTAAGCCAAACAATGATCTGCAATGTAAGCATAAAAATGAGAATCGAAAGTGGGTAAAAGTTAATACTATGAGACAAAAGTTTAAATAAGTTAGAACGGACTTAATATGAAGTTATAATTCTATTAGTGCACACAAGTGTTTTAATAAATGAATCAGGTTTCTAATTACAAAGAGAAAAAAAACAACAAAAAGAGGGAACTAAAACAAGTCTAGAGGTTTTGAAAGATGAATATATATATATATATATATA